AAAGTTAAAAACTGTTGTTCTTTTGAGGCCCTCAAGGTGGCGCTCGTGGCCCACAATTGGGCCGTGGCCCATAGGTCAAGAATCTCTGAATTAATCGGTTATTCTTCTACAAAAACTACTGGAAACATTTAGCAATGTTTCTCTGCAAAGATCATCAATAAATATAACAGAACAATATAATTTCCTGTGTTTTTATTTTGTGAGCCTTAATGAACTGAAGTGATGTAAAAAGTGGCCAAAATTCCTCAACAACCATGTGAGAGAATAAAAGTTAAAACAGGAAATATATATTTTTATCTCTGTTACCTTTTAAACTTTTTCTATTTTATTTTTGTTTAATAAAGACACAGTGGAATGTGTTTTTGGAGATTTGAGATTACACTGAAAAATCTGTAGGATCTGATAAAAACTACACAGGTTTTATCATATTATACTTCAAACCTGAGAACTAGTTAGGTCATAGGTTTTATAAAAAAAAAAAAAAAAAAAAAAAAGCCCCAGCGGTGAGATCATGAGGACGTTTCGCTCCATTTAACGGCCTCACGTGACATAATCAGCCCAGATTAGTTGGTCCACAGGTACTTTACTGCTCGCCTGTCAATAACACATTTCTGAAGTTACAAATTAACAGAGAAGAGTCGACTAGTTTACATGTGAGCCGTTGTTTGATGACGTCAGCTTAGAGTTTCAGCAAAACATGTCAATCATTTGTTTTATTTGATTTCATGCATGAACACTGAGACTTTTATTATTATCTGACAGCAGGTTTATCAGGTAGAATATACAATATTTTATGTTTTAACAAAAGTAATACTTTGGTTTATACTTTAGAAATGTGGTGTGTTTGAGGAAATGGGAAAAACAGGTTTTATGGTGCAGTCACGCACTTCCTGGTCACAAAACGTTCTCCAAATGCGCACCAAATGCGTAAAAATGTGCACGTTATGGCAAAAATTATTCATCATTAAATCTAGTTTTGTTTGGAAGTAAATAAAAAATAAAACTATATAAAAACATTACTTTTACAAAGTTTGAATCTAGTTCAAGTGAACACTGAAAGCGCTCACTGTTTTTTATAGAAGCCCTGTGAAAGCATCACAGCTTTACCGAACTAATCCTGTATCCGCATCGTGATCCGGAACATCACCAAAATTTAAAGGTGTGTTCCTTGGTCCAGTACCCACATGTGGTAAAAATGTCATGACAATCTGTCCACAAGTTTTTGAGTAATGTTGTCCACAGACAGAATGACAGACAGACGGACAAACGCGACCAAAAACATTACCTCTTCGCTTGGCGGTGGTACAAAACAAAACAAACAAACAAAAAATCACTAAAAACCTCACCTCATTTTTACTCTTTGTCACAATCTCAACTTTAGCAGCTTCTGCTCGTCCCTGGTCTCTACAAACCATGTGGACAGTTCCTCCTGCAGAATCACAACAGAAACTCATCAGTGGAAAACTCCGCAAACCTTTGATTGTTTTTTTTTTTTAAATAAAAGGTTTAGACAACAAAAAAAGGCATAAACAGAGATGAAATACTGTAAATTCAAAAATACACAACATTCATTCATAGCCAAATGTCACATGACTCCAGTCCTTCGTGCTAAAATGAACTAATGGTGGCTGCTGTCGGGTTTCACAAACTGTTAAAAACACAGAAAATGACCTCTCCTGCTCTCGTCACACCATGACAAAACTCATCCAGAATCACAACGATGCACAACTAAGAGGGGGTAGAGATTTGTAGAGTCAGTGAGGTGAAGTTTTTAGGTGTAGTGATAGATGCAGGGTTGACATGGAGACCTCACATAAATGATTTAAGAACAAAGATGGCTAAATCTATTGCTGTTCTGTATAAAGTAAAGGAGTT